ACTATTTTAGTATAAGTTATGAAATGTTCAAAGAGATTAATAATTTTAAATGGATGGGAAATTACAATAAGTTGAAGTTTCATTTACAAAAATATAGAAATTAAAATTTTAATTCGTTAAATATCTACGACTAATGTTATCAGATGATGGATCAACAAAGTCTGGTAATTCTTGCTCTACCACAATTTCCACAAATAACGGCAATATTTGATTCCATGGACTTTCTCGAATTCGAGTCTTAACACAAGCCGAATCAAAATTACAAGTCAATTCAGTCAGTCGAATTGGGTCTAGAAAATTTTTTTGCAAGTCGAATTCAAAAAATAATTCTCAAGGGAATATTCAGATAAGTATTTACGGACCAAATTTAATATAAGGGACCCACTAATAAAATTGATTACAAATCAATTGATTTAAAGTAGGGGTCCCTTATACTAAAATTGACCCGTATTTACTTTTATTTAAGCGAAATCGTAGCGAATTATTGAAAGAATGATTATTTTAGTGCTTGGAACATTTGGCCTTTAAATACATTTTAAATTTTAGGAACGTTTACACTCCAGAAGTAACGTTTACGCTACTATTAGCACGTCAACGTGACCTTTAGAACGTTTACGCACCAACTTCGAGCCAATTCCTTGTGATTATCAGTTATGCAAGTACATTATTCTAACAGATTTATACGGTCGAATGTACGTGCCAACTGTCGTGTTTATGCGACTTGAGTAAGGCAAGACCAATTTGATTTTCTGTTCAACATAACCCCAACCCCTCAATTTTTCGAAATTATAGGAACCAATATACATAATATTAAATATCCCCCTCTATTTTTCAAAATCTATATAGGTCAATAGACATCAGATTAACTAATTAGATTGCAGCATTAATTTTTATCTAATATTATTGTGTTTTTTCTTAATTTCCCACTCCCCTCTTACAAGTCACCTCATGTTATGTTAAACAGAGGATCAACTTGGCTTGGCCTAACATGCATATGATTAAGCCACCCATCATTACCATTTTAGTATAAGTTTGAAAATTTCCAAATTGGGAAATTATATAACTGATAAGGGAGTGGAGGGTACCGTATTCTGGCGCACCTAAGCTGCATTGTAATTAAAAGTTTATAAATTAATATTTATTTCTAAAATTCATTTAACTAACTAATTTTATACTTGGCTATCTGATAATGAAAAAAAAGAAGGTACTAAAAAAAATTGTTTATTGTGACTTTTTTGAAAACGATTTTTTAATCGTTATTTTATTAGGTGGGGGTATTACGGCGCATTGCAAATATAGTAATATCTAAATACTGCATAAACGTAATATCTACGTACTGCATAAACTTTATAATTGGCCGAGTTCGACATTTGAATAATAAATTACTAAATGAAGCAGATTCTTAAGGGGCGCTGGGCGTGCCGAATACACTTTAGTTAATTTTTATGCTTGCCAAGAGTTTCCAAGAGTTCTAATTAAAGTGATTTTAACACCATTCGATTCGTCTTGATAAGGCGAATTAAATGGTGTTAAAATTGTTCGTTTCTGGTTATTGCATTACGAGATATTTTAAAAAAACTTCAGTGCGCCACATTACCTCCCGCGCCAGAATACCCTCCATTCCCTTATATGCGGATAATTTACCGAATAAGATAAAGATTATTAACAAAAATATCGGGACTAAAATTTTAATTCATTACAATATACATAAACTTTTGTTCATTTTTATATGACATAAAAAGATGTAATTAACGAAATTCTATTTAAATAAATTTGCTTTTTTTATTTTATAAAGATGAAAATTTTAGTTTACTTAATATTAGTCAAACGAACTTTGACAGGGATCTATAATTGTGCTATTTAGAATTAATAACATGAATAAAGATATAAATACGTAATAGTAATTAAAAACAACTAAATTTATCAAATTCTTTCTCTCTGGTTTTTAAAATAATGAGGTGAATACCACTATTTTTATGTTGAAACGATAGTAAAGCAATAATAAAGGAACTTTAATGCTTGACTATAGCAAAATTAATCAATTTGTTCACAATATTGGTAAAAATATATTTTCAAGATTTTTTATTAATTTGAAATATTTCATATTCCTCTATTGAAAAATATGATCTTTGTCAGCTAAAATTTGCACCTTCTTTTACGTATACGTATGTAGATTCATTTCTAATTGGAGTTTCATATACCGAACTTTTACGACACCAACACATTTTATCCTGATTAAAATTATCTTTCATAACAAGAGCCCAAGAATTGGAACCAAAAATTGGACCATAATTAGAATTAGAACGAATTGCAAGGTCCGGGATAGTCACACGGCTTAAAACGGAATTTTGAATAGTACCATTCTTCAATGAAAAAATAAAGCTATCATTACAATTCTTAATAAAATAAGATACATTTACTGGTTTATCCCATCCAACAGAATTATACCCACCAAGAATTTCATCAGTACCATTAATCTTAATAACTACAACAAGATGCATTTTCTTATCACATAAATTCCAAAATGAAGCAGCAGTAAAACCATCTCTGATTCCACGAAGAAGTAATTTAAATTCGTATGGATTATTTGTTGCAGAATACATATCACCTTTTTTGTCAATCCATGAAGCAATTTCTGCTACATGCACATCGCTAATAACTGTTGAAAATGGTTCGCTAATTCTAATAGGCAATGTTGGTGTTAAAATTAAGCGAGGAGGAAGAACAGTTGATAATACGAGTTGGTTATCATAAATTTTCTTATTATGTCTTTCCTAAGGTCTTTTTCAAGGATTTGTTGATTTGTTGCACATTATTAAAAATATCATCACCAGACATTTGAAAATAACGGATATGAGGCAAACAATTCAGTAAGTATTCTTCAAAGCCAGGAAATTTTCATGAAACCAATTATCAGGTTCAGATGGTAGGCCAGGATTTTTAGCAATTCCCCATTCAATAACACGATTCCAAATTTTTACTTCTTTTATTTGTAAATCATCTCGACTAATAAGTGATACCAATGCATTTTCTTGAAGTGTGATAAAGTCTTCTGAATCAAAAATCTTGTTGGGGTACTTTACTAGAAAATCATTGCACCATTTCTGTAATTCTTGAGGCTTATCATTCTGAAAACTTTTTGATAAATACGAGTAAAATTTAAACGAAGCCAATGAGCTTCTGTTTTAAATAAATGAGTTTCAAGGTATTTTGCTAACTCATCAAAAAGAAATTTATAAGCAATAAGCATAAGTTCAAAAATGAATGGTGCATCGTACTTTTAAGTTCAATTATTCCTCCATAGATATATCTTTTATTTAGTTTAGTTTTCTTTTTTAAAAATACAATATAAACTATAAATCATAATATAGTAATATAAATAACTCATAATATCGTAATATAAATAACTTACTTTATATAATGATCTCGAACTGTTGAATAGAAATATTTTTTAAATCAAGTGTTTTAAAATTATTTTTATCTTTAATGCTATTCGCCAATTCATTACGAAATTATAAAGATCTATGTCTTAAAATTGCTGAATGTGCTTGAAATTCCTTAGTATTTGAGATTCACCAACATTAATGACAATATTGAAATCTTCTTTGTCATCAAGAAGTTCAAGATAATTATTTGAAAGTTTCTCATAAAATTTTACTGTCATATTATTTAAGTAAAAAAGTTTAGTTATTGGTCTGTTAAGAATCTTTCAACGTACAATTCTAATCAACGTTAAGGTATATGTGCGTATAAATGTACTGTACGTTGTGAAAGTGTAAATCGACGCTAAGGTGGCTTGGGTCGGTTTGTCCAAAATTGGTCTTGAAATACCTACCATACAGTATATACCATATATACTAGATATAGTAGATATGCTATGCTATATATGCTATATATAGCAGATATAGCCTATATGCCGGATATGTTATATATAGCAGATATAGCCTATATGCCGGATATGTTATATATACTATATATAGCAGATATAGCATATCGACCCTATATGGTAGATAGAGTAGAAATGTCAGAAAGCATTTGATAGTAACAAAACATGTATATAAAGGAACCGAAAACGTAGCTTGAATTAACTAACTCAGTGAGTTCGATAACTCTGAAGTATTCAAAGATCCAAGTTAAAGAAATCAGAGTATTTAACTTGTGATTAGTTCTCGGAGTTCAAAACCTTCGAAGTAGAAGTGTTGTTCTACTAACCCCCGATAAAGTAAAAACTGTATTATCGATAGGAATTTGTGACCAAATCCCGTGATTCTGTATAAAGAGATTCGTGACGTAATCTAGAGCTCTAATCCGACACTATCGCTAAGAACCCAATTCACCCTAGTAACTCGGACCAAGTCTTTCCACGCCTCAATCGTTGCCTTACCACTATTAGGGTTTGGTTGTATTAGTTGTGGTGTCCTGATTAGAGTAGTTTAGTTAGTTTTGGTTGTGTGTAGTTGTATTATTTGGACCAAGTGCATAATTCGCACTTTTACAACGTACCAGATTAATACAAATTAAAAACTTGTAGATCATTACAAAATAATTTTCGCATGACAAGATCATGCTGTCCAATAAGATCAAAGATTTTGTACACAGATAGTTGCCTGTAAACCATACACTTCGTACTTCGTACTACGTTCCTGGTATGGATTAATAATAATAAGGTAGCTGCGCAACGCAGTTGCGCTAGAAACCAGGAACGTAAATTTTAATTGTATATTATAATAGTAGTAGATTATAATGGATATTACTAAGAAAGATTATGTGGTTTATTAATTGAACTTAATAATTTAACTTATTATATTTATATTGTAAACCAAAAGAAAAAAGAATATTTTAAATTAATAACAAGAATTTAAACTATGAATCAAATAATTTTAATTGAATCATTATTGTTAAATCACTTTGAGAAAATACTATATTTATAGATTGTAATACTTGTAAAAGCAGTATTACAGATATTCTCGAGTCAAAAAATAAAATAAACTTTGTATTAGTTACTTTCTTTTAATACAAATTCCATACGGTCTGACATCTTCGCCTTTTTCTGAAACCCAATACTCGCCATTTCCAACAGGAATTCTTCTTAAACTAGCAGGATTTACTCGTTTCTGAAATATCATCACATATGTATTTCCTTCAAATACAAACTTCGTCGCATATTGTTCAGCTATATGTACGTCAGGTGTTGAATAAATTCCACGCCCATAAGCGAATCTAATTCCTTTGCTTAAATCATAACCATCTTCAGAAATTAATTTGCATTATGTTTAGCAGTGTCATGATACGATACTGGCCAGGCATTTTCATCAATACCAAGCCATTTATTATCTCCATTATCATACTTTCCAGTAACCTTTAAAGCGATCCGTTTCCATCCACATGGTCTTTTATATTGTATATTTCCTCGCACAAATGTCACACCTAGATCATTAATATTTGTAAAATCGTAGTCATATGGTGGGTCCAAAGTTCTCACACTTAAGTAACTAATTATACATCCACCTCCACGTAGACGTAAAACCATGTGCAATTTGCTCTCTTGTTAAATATTGTAGTCGGAAAGCGTTCTACCATCCTCTAATTGTTTCCCAGCAAAAATTAATCTCTGTTGATCTGGCGGAATACCTTCTTTATCTTGAAGTTTCATCTTAATAGTATCAATAGTATCATTCTATTACAATCAAGTTTTATGGGTTTACCAGTGAGCGTCATAACAATAATTTGTCCTAGATAAGACTAAATTGATCCAATGTGCACCGACGGTTAAAATCAGTGTCCAAGTCATCGACAGTATTCAGATTACTGCCAACAAGATTGATCTGATGAAACGCGTTTAAGTCAACTTGTTGATATAATGTACCATTATCGTTAGTTTCATCACGGGCTTGTCTATCTTGAAATTCTTTCTCAGATATAAACTTGTGGGTTCCCATTACGGCTGAAAAAGCCGCGTTAATAAGGCCAATATTCCTTGAGTTTGCCATAGTTAACGAATACTGGTAGTTTCTTTGAATCGTTCAATTCAGCGAATTTATAAAGTTATATGACAATCAATGAAGATAGATTGATCAATTAAATATATAGATACTTGCTCCTGAACAAAAGCTATGACAAAAGATATAATTTCTAATTTGTTTTTTTTTAACGAGTCCACATAACATTGTTCATTTTATATCACTTTTCCATGTTAGTATTTACCTTACGGGATTCAATTTCCGATGCGTTGTTCAATGTTATATAGCGCCATCAGGAATTGAATCCCCATAAGGTGAAATATATGCATAAGAGCGCCATCAGGAATTGAATCCCCGTAAGGTGAAATATCAAATCATATGCATAAGAACGTCATCAGGAATTGAATCCCCGTAAGATGAAATATCAAATGCATATGCATAAGAGTGTGAATCACATCCTAGTAGAATTTCTTATCGTGATCAGAGATGGAGTACTTTAGTTCTAAAAACCTAAAATCTTAATATATTTACAATACAAAATTAAACTACTTTTCAATCATTCTGATGAAATTACTTATTTGCACATTATCTCTATACAAAAGAGTAAGATTTTATGTATTATTCGGTGGCTATGATTGATGTACTGTGCGTACATAAGTACGTATAGGTCTAGGAGTTCCGATTGAATATTTGATCACATTAATAATGACAAATTGATACATCTTGAGAATTTGGAATAGTTCAAAATTTGGAATAGTTCAACATTTGGAATAGTTCAAAATTTGAAATCTTTGAATATTATGTATTGGTTTGATGGATACTTAATTTCTATTGCCATTGATTCTATTTCTGGAAAGTCATAACGATAACAGTAAGGCATTGTGTCTAGGGATGGGTTC